ACAGCTACAATCGATAGCTAAAAACGAAATCTAATAGTAGTAATCGAAAGCTCATAGTCCTAAAAACATATCTTCGGATGTCTTATCTTTTCCAGACTGACTGCTCTAAATGTTATATGTGCCCTTTATTAACCGTTAGAGGTAAAAACTTTTTCAAGGAGTACTTACAGTAAAACTTTAATTATGAGAATTAATGGAAAACATAATTCATTTTTGCCAGATTGCGAAAGGTCGTGGGTTCGATTCCCATATCAGGATGCCAGGGACCAAGAGGATTTTTTTAATCATTTTGTATTAAGAATAAATATAATTCAGTTTAATACTATGTGATGACACAAATTCTGTTCGAACTTCACATCTTTTTACCGATAGTATGAAACAAAAAGAAGTACATGTATTTTTAGTAAAAATATACGCTGATGTTTATTGAATGGTTTATTAATATCAATATGTACTTTACACTCTGATAGAAAATATTATGCAAGAAAATTACTTAAGAAGTTGTTACTCAAAGCAAATACTAGTCAAAATATAATAGCTTACTCGCCTAAGGCATTAGTATAAGTCAGAATAAATAGCTCACGCGAGAACTCTAACTAATTTTAATGGTACGACTATTTGTCTCAGCTGCATCGCTCGGGTAACTGGAAATTATTTTGTTACATTAAACTTAATGTTTACATGGAAAATTGTAGTAAGTGCAATTAAATATTGCAACCTCTGAACAGCTGGTTAGTAATGAAATATTGATACGGGTTTAACTTGTCTATTTGTATGCGTCGATTTCCCACCGAAACATTTTGTTGCATTGTAAGTATGTACGGGATTTGAATTTAATTTCAATAATTCATATTATAAATAAATTGGTTTATTTATATTATTAATTTTAATTCAATATTAAAATTTCAACTTATTACTCTAAATTCAGAATACAAAATAGAATCAAGTATTAAATTCGTAAACAACATAACAATTACCTACATAAAATTTATTTTAAATCTCATAATAAACAGATTGTGGTTAAAAATCGAATTTTGATCATAAACATACTTGGGTATTATTTGAAAATATATATTTCCTATTATAATAATATTTTGCTAGTTCATAATCTCACTTGACGAACCAGTAAGAGTTTTACATAAATAATACAGAAGCATTCTATCGAAGACATTATCGATTAATTAAAATACACCTCCATAATCGAATAGACATTTCATAACAGCTGCTCCATTTTGCACTATCAAAGCTTAGACAAGCTCGGACATGATTCAGTGCGGCCGGTCTCCGAGCAATCGTACACATTAGCGCGCCGTGTACGCCCATCACTCGCTCGCAGATATGTCACTTACATGGTTATCTTTTACGCCTGTTACATTGGTCTTCTTGTGATTTCCACACTTGTGTTCTGTTTTATTTATTTTATCAAACAGGTGCTGGGTTCTTCTTGTTTCGAATTCTATAAAGCGATGTATATATCTCTATATTTAAAATATTCTTTGATCTAGGTACAAGGTAGGTAGCGTGGTTTTTTAGGGTTCTGTACCTCAAAAGGAAAAAATGGAACCCTTATAAGATTACTTTGTTATATATCCGTCCGTCCGTCTGTCGAGACCCCTTTTCTCAGGTACACGTGGAGGTATCAAGCTGAAATTTATATCACATACTCAGGTCTACTGTCCCTTGGAGTTTTGAAAAAATCTCAAACTTCGAAGCCAACTTGTCGTGGACTCAGAATCTAGAAATTTTATACGAAGCAACAAAAAAATTGCGAATACCATTTTACTTTTATGTACGGAATCCTCGGTGCCTGAGTCCGACTCGCACTTTGCCGTTTTATTATATAATGCAACTAAAAATTCGGTTTTAAGGCTCCTTTGAAAACCATGAACGATATTTTGAATATTCTGACTAACTGACATAGTGATCTATCAACGCACAGCCCAAAACATTAAACGGATCGGACTGAAATTTGGCATAGAGGTAAATGTTATGAGGTAGACATCCGTTAAGAAAGGATTTTGTTAAGTTCCACCCCTAAGGGGATAAAATAGGGAATAAAATTTTGTATAAATCTTCTTAGATTTTAGACTGATTGAACTGAAATTGAAGATTGGAACTACCATGATGAAGACGTCCACTTAAATAGGATTTTGATAAATTCAATCCTCATGGGGATAAAATAAGGAATGATGGAAGATGTGAATGTATTAGTTTGAACCTATCAGTACGTAATGGAACGAATAAATGAATATTCGTTAGAAATGCTGCTCAAAGAAACTTTACCACACGGACGAAGTCGCGGGCAAAAGCTAGTGACTTATAAAATTGATGATCTGTCTATTTCTTTTACAATTGTCATGCATATGCTGTTTAGTCATATAACCTCTGAATAATATAAATAATGCTTTTTTTTTAGGCCGTATACCTAGGATATAATTATTAGAAACTTTTTAGACAAAATGGCAATTTTTACAGTTGTTAGATAGAAGAAGGCTTTAAAAATATTTATGTTCCCACAAATTCGAGATCCGTCCCTGTGATAAGGAGCATTTGTAACTCATGGCACAAGGGTTCATTCACTTCTAGCGGTGCTATTATATTATAAAATCAACCTCCGACCCGACGTCGAGTACAGCGCTGTCACAGCATAGATGTTCAATCAAATAAAACCTACATCTAAAGGCAATAAAGTTTTTATTTCATTGAACTTCCATGCCGTAACAGCGCTCTATTCGACGTCGATTTCGAGGCTGATTTTATCACAGAATACCATCGTTAATCAGCATGGGACTTATAAATCAATTCAAAATATTCATTTACAAGAACCATATTGTTGATCACTGATAGAAATTGATATCCGATCGAATACAATAATACTTCGTTTAGAGCGCGAATAAGGTATCGTTTTATAGATATTCGAATCCAAGACTGATACGGCGGTAGAAAGTGTAAATCTCCTTACTCACTGGCGAGCCATTAGGGCCGGGAATTATTCAACTGATACCTTATCGATAATCTGCTCTTGCAGTTATTGTTTATCGTGGTGCCCGAGAAAGTATCGATCGAATCGATTAATTACGCCGCCTGCCCCTAAGTGGATGCAATGACATCAATATATTTTAGATAGTGTGCGTTGTTGATCTGTAGGTTAAGTAGGGATTTGTCTAATCACGTTGCTTATGCCAAATTCTATCTCCGTTTCTGTCATTTGGATCTTGTTATTCTTTGACATGTATCAAAGGTTTATGTGTTTAGGTAGAATATCTTAGTTATGTTTTTGGTGTTAATCTTCTATGAGTAGGTACCTTACTTTTTGCTAGTTTTATAAGTAAATATTATAATAATATATTGTCCGTTTACACCATTGTCATTAAAATATTAAATGGCGGATCTTCATTCCCAAAATACATAAATACCTCTATTTTTCTGAATCAAATATTAAAATCATTTAATCTTTCATTACTATCAAGTAAGATAGTATTTATAAATAATAAATTTATCGTGAATTATATGTGTAGTATTTATTAGAAATACAATTCACGGAGAAATTGACGATAAATTACACACACTCGAATACATAAGCTCCTTCTTTAAGAAATCGGTTAAAAAGATTAGAACTGTAAGCTGTTAGGTGGATAAATACTTAACAGCCGGTTTCTGAATTGAGAAAAGAACAAAATCTTTACTGATTATTCTCAATTACTTAAGTTTTTTACGTTTCACAAGTCAAAATTATGTCCTAGTTTTATAAAAATTGCCATGAATTAAAAATTAAAATCAGGAATAAAAACCTGTTTAGGTGATGTTTTAGTAAAGTTTTAAACGTTCTTAAATTTAAATTCTTAATTCAGAAACTGAGTGTTAGGCTCATATGCTAATGACGAAAGTTTAATCTTTTTACTTTAATAGTAATACTAAAAATCTATTTCTCAGAAGATTCGTCTGTTGATTACTACTGAATCTAATATTGATATTTGGAATCAGATCTGAATAGATGAACCTCGACCGACATTGTACTATTATTAGAGTTGCACCTTAAATGACAACAGTTTAGATTTCACAATTCGGAAGAGTGATACAAATGTTGAAAGTTGGGCAACACCACTCAATAGAGATGTGTATCGACGAGTAGGATGGGTCAAATTATCGATTGTTCGAATATCCCAACTCTTCATTTAAAGCCGGGTGCACATGACTATAGAGAAAAAATTCGTTTTCGAACAAAATATTTTTTATCACCTCAAGGAAAATCCTTTTATTTATTATATATAACACTAATAAAATAACTAAAATTTTATTAAAACATGTCACAATGGGGATACTGGTATTGAAAGTTTTATGCAATCAGTTTTAAAATTAAGGATTAATTTATTAGAAATAAACCTAATACTTAAACTAAACTTCATAAAAATGTCACACTACGAATAAAAACACATCGCTTTAAGGAGTTTTTTTCAATTATATCAAACTAGAACAACAAAGCCAACTATAAGCGAGGACAAATAATGTAACTATGACACCACTTTGACAGCTTTTAGAGCTAATAAAAATATATTCCTACACAAATTATTATAAATATGAAGTTGAATTTCTATTTCATTAAAATTTTATTTCATTAGGATACATGAAATAAAATTTTAGGTAGTCATTTCTATATGTGTTATCGCAGAAGGTGAATTATTAATTAATTTTAAAATAAAATTAGATAAGACAAAAATATGTTTTAAGAACATTTTGCTGACACATCAGAATATAGCAATAATTAATAGATATACAATAAAAAGATATTAAAGTCAAAATTTCAATTTAAAAAATATATTAAACCACTTACTTATCTAAAGAACTGTTAAAGCTATCGTCAACCATATGATTTTAAATGTATAACAGTTTGGTGTTCCGTGATTTTCACGATTGTTATAAAATTAATTAATATTTTAATTTTTGAACAATTTCTTTGTGTACATTTAGTTCAATCATTCTTTATTTTTTTAGTTTTCGGGATGTCTCTCCGTGAGTACAGCCCTTTAGCGTCGGCATTTCTCATTGTATTCTAACGCTCCAATTCTTGTGTACGATATGTACCAACGTATCTCATATCAACTGTTTTGTGCGCATAACATGCGTTTAACAATAATCTACAAATAGCTATCTACGTTTATGGCGAACCCGACCATTTTCACATAAAAATACCGACTATTATACTTCTTTCAAACAGTAGATACATATTACTATCTAGAAGAATTTGATATGTTTTTTATTCTTATCCCCTAACATCCTGACTCCAACATCTTTTTCAGGTATACTGGCAGAGAATGCCTTTGACTTCAAGTCCGCTAGTACCATTATTTTATGGCGTTGTAGTTGGGTGTATTAATAATTTTATGGTTTAAAAGCGAAGTCCTTATAACATAAATCAGTTTTCTTACTCTACTGTACGGAACCGTCTACTTTTTTTTTCAAATATAGCCTATTCATTATACAATTTTTTAAATACTATAACGTCGTTTCTTTTCTTTGCAGTTTTCAAACGATTTGACATCAACCATCAAGCAACATCGGCGCCCAACTTTGGTTTTTCAAAAGTAAGTAGATTTTATGTACTTCATAACCATTATAGCCATTGCTGCCATTTAAGCCATGAATGGAGTCGAATAACTCACCACGCGGCTCAGTGTGGATTAGTGGGTGTTAACCACTGTGTAGCAGGGTTGCATAGTTTACAAGCGCCACGGCCCGCGATCGTTGTTGTTAAAAATTATTATCTCGAGCTACTCCATGCTTCAGAAAGCACGTTTAGTCCCGGCTGAATTTCCAGTCGTTAATACCGACCGATATGCGTTGGGCCAGCGTGGAGGGTAATGGCCCATTTATGGTATATATTAACCATCCGTAAGGAAGGCTTGAGCCCCTGCAGTGGGAATGTAAAAGTCTGATGATGATGATGGACGACTACAGGTGCAGGAGGGACCAACGCCCTAACGTGCCTTCTGAATTGCGGAAGAGCTGGAGATAATACATTTTTAGGTCACCCATCCTATAACCATCCCTTGCGAATGTTGCTTAACTTCCGCATCAGCCATCGGACTCCTTTATCATATTATGTGCTAAATAAATTACAATGTTATTAATTATATTATATATTTCCTAATTATTTATGAGCTGCTTTGATATCTTATAAAATACAGAATCTAATATGAAACTTGGCGCGAAAACTTCACAAAATTAGATGGCTAAGCAAATAAAACCTTTAATGCCATAAGAAGTAGGTTCTATTTGAAAAAAAAAAACACCGCGTTCGACGCTGTGTGGATTGTTTCCTGAAAGTGAAAATACAGGTTTGTGTTATTCCGAAATTATGAAATATTTCAACTTATCAAAATGATAGTTTATGACACTAATTTGGATTTTTTTTTTAAGTAGGAAACATATATTACAGACATTTGCTAAAATACATATGGCTTTAAATCAGTTACATACGTTGTATGTATACAACTTTCATTAAAAGAGCTATAAACATAAACGCACAAATAATAAAAATATTACAAAGATTACCCAGACGCCCATACGTTTTTCGCTACCGTAGCACCGTGTGACGTCTCTATGGTACCACATGGTACTACCATGAATTTGTAGGGAGCGTTTTCGGCCGACTAGCAACATTTCCACAAACATAGGATCGTATCTCCGAAACTATTAATCGTAAATATTCTATAACTTCTACATTATTTCTCAGGTATTTATAAAAAGGATTATTTATTTATAAAATAAAAAAGGTTGCCAACTACCCTCAGAATAAGCATTGAGGTGTGAATATTAATTTACATAATTATTAAAAACATACCGCAAATATAATAAAAATTTATTTGATACAATCAAGATTAAAAAAAAGAAATTCTATATTTATATTAATCTAAAATTAATTACTACTCTTATAAATCCAACAACATTAAAAATAGCTTCCCACAGTATTTCGACTTACTTATATCATGCTTTTTTCGATCTGTGGAAGAGAGAAGGAGAGATAGATATTAGAAGCGATCCTAATGTCTATAGTAACATAACTTAGCATTAAAAGGGTGTGGCACGAGCGAGCCTCTTATTAACTTAAATTCGAAGTTTTTAATCACTACTTATAAGAGTTATTTTTTGTTATAACCATTAATTTATATTTTAATGAAAAAATACTTGTTTTTGTTAAATACTAAACTTTACAATGACCAAAGATGCTTTCTTAATTAAGTTAAAATAAAACATAACTAAAAAAGCGATACATATCAGAATGTTGTGTGTGATTTATGGGTTAATGTAATTAATGAACTAATATGTATAATTAAATTTGCCAAGTTTCTTTCTATTGTGAAGTATATCAAAACAAATTCGCATTTAAATTTTTTATGAACATTAAAACCTGTTTTAAGACGTTTATCGTAACTTAAAGAAACGGATCCATTATAAACAGCCCTGCGATTCTGTAACAATCCAGACCCGAATTCGAATTCACTCATGTGTCCGAATTCTAGTCATTTAGTAAAGAAATCCTATTGATTCCATTTTTTGTATAAAAATACTAAACAATTGACTGATTAAACGTGTCATAGATATTTTAATCCTATATCATTTCGAAACTCACTTCACTTATTTCACGAAACATTATTACCAATTCAAGTTTGAGCGGATGCCGCTTTTTGAAGTGAATTCGGACACCCGAGTGATTTCGAAATCGGGTTTGAAGTTTTACAGAATCGCAGGGCAGTTCTTAAATTAATATATTGAAATTGATTCTTCATCATCAGCCTATTGATATCCCTACTGCTGAGACACAAACCATCATCCATAACGCGGGCACAATATGGATTGGTGTGTGTAAACAATTGCAGATGCACCCAGGACGAAGGGATTAACGTGCTTTCAGAAGCACGACTGAGCGCTAGATAGTAAATTTTTGGTCACACACCCTGTGACTTGACACTTCGTAGAACGAAAACACTAATCACTGCGTCTATTAGCTCATTTATAAATATAACGGTCACTTATTATAACAGAATGTTAGTTTATCCTGTCTTTGTCTTGATACATGTTTAAACTGTCAAAAATTTTGTAGAAAATTCACTTTTCATGTGCTTAATATAATACTTTTACAATCATCAACCAAATAAAGTGCCCACCCGGATCATTGCTCATCATAAATACAATAAGTCCAATTCCATTTGAAAACAAAAGAGCTTGCGTCTAGTTTATGTGACACCAGCTCCGCGAAGGGTGTAGTGTTGTCAGCCTATAAATAACTATATAAGTTATTAAGCAGTTTACTTACAAATGTAAATTTATTAATTTGAAATAATTAATTTTACAATTGTTCTGTAGTACATGGGTACACATATGGCTAATGCTTGAAAATTAAGTTTGAAAAATTTTCAATTATCACAAATAACAATTTAGCTTTGTATTATAAAACCCAAAGCCAATATGGAATAATATAAACAATTCACTTTTTTATCATCTATCAAGGAATAAATAGAGCCTTCAGAAATCAGAGATTTTCCGGGCAAAAAAGCTTCAAGAAATTTTCTACATAACAGTTTGATTATAAAAAATTATAACCATCGATTAAGTTAGGACAAATTATTCTAATTATTTAATATATAGAATTGTATTAAATTTTTACTCATATAGAATTATTTTTGCAGGCTCTAAACGGATTCCTAATGATGATGACACAAAACGGCAAACTTCTGTACATATCGGACAACGCAGCGGAATACTTGGGACATTCAATGGTGAGTCAACTATGTCATAATTGTATCTTACTACCGAGTGGTCCCATATACTGAAGAAACTCCTAGTCAGAGCCCAATCTTAGGAGGAGCGGGCAAATGGCATATGCCCAGCCGTGCGAAATGATTTTACCTTCTTTCATATCTATAACTTTACCAAATAATAATATTGTAATATCTTTTGTTTTGATAGCACGCGATCGATTTGTCCGTGAAAGGTAAATCTTGGCGTTTCTTCATTCTTCCATCTAGCATTAATTCACATATTTCAATCAAAGGAGTAGGCTTTTTAACTTTTATACCGATACACTTTTTCACAAAAGAAAAACCGATACACTTTGACAAAAGGAAATTCACAATTGCACTTAAGAGTGCATCTTACTATATGTAACGGTAACAAAGGCGTCGTCCCGGTAGGTCCGCGGTCCCGCTGGTCCCAAATAGCCGCTCGTTAGCTGCGCGAGCGACGGTGAATTAATCACCGCATTTTATTGTTTGCCGCGCTATGTGTGTGATATACAGGTTGTTGTATTGTTTTATTCTCTACCAGGGCAAAAAATCGCTAACGACCTTCTTCGTCGAATGCTGCCACTGCTTTTTTTTTCTTCTGCTTTTGTTAGGTTTTATCTGTGGTGCAATTTAATTTATAAGTTGCATTTTGTCTAAATTTCAGTTTTGATTTAATTAAGCTTCTAATAAATGTTTTAGTGATAACTTTTTAATTGAACTTCATAGTTAAATTTATAATTTAATTTAATAGATGGTGTTATGTTAATTTTGAATCATGCTAACATTTGGTTTTGGAAAATAGATATTACTAACAAGTTCATATTTGTTATCGTTGCTAATACAGAACTGTTTTTATTTTCGAATCACTAAGCAGTTTCTGTACAACCTATAATAAAAACGTGTAAAAATATAAGAATGTTTCTCTAAAATTACAGTTACATTTGTAATTATTAAAGTCAAACTGAGACATATCACTATTATTATTTTAAAAAAGTTTTGAAACAATATCAATAAGAACTTAATTTCATTAAAAGTTGTATAATTCACAACTTATAATGAAATTGGCTGTCGTATATCGAAATATATTTGTCTTACAATATTTTCGCTTGATGATTTATTATTACTTTCGTTGCCTTAACAATTTTATAATAGACTTCGACTGCAATGTCATGATGAATTCTTATACCGTGCAACTGTGTACAAATAGTTTAATTAGTTACAACGTGATCAAACCAAACAAACTGATAATTCGCGAACGGGATGTCCTTCGTGACCATTGAAGACAACTGATGCCCGTTTTCACTAACCTAGAACGAGAGATAGCTTAAATATAAATAACTTAATATTAAGAATAGCTTAAACAGATTTGTCTTTTCACCAAACCTGTAACCTTAGGTATTGCCTTGCTAAGCATTTGCTTAGTTATGCAACGTTAGTCTATGATTTTGCATGCTTTAGTTCCTCTTTTTTTTAATGTATAGAATTTTTGCATTTACACTATTCCGCCAATGTCACTTTAGTCGTCTTTACACGTAAAGAGACAATACCAAAAATATATATATTGAAGTAATTAAACAAGAAAAAATATACGTTATCTTGTACTTTTCCAAGTCGTCATTGCCCATTTATAAAAAGACGGAAAATTCGAAAAATATCATTATTTATATCTTAATTCTAATATATAAACTCCTTGATTTCAACTAACTAAATTGATTTTATCCCATAACACATCTGTTATAGCCAAAGAGTAAATGTATATATCACATTACGCAAATGCCCAGCGTTAGTCGGCGCACAATGCATTGCAAGCGTTGCTTAAAGTCGTTATGTGGCACCTCTTAATTGATGAAACGCATTTTCACCTTTGACAATGGCCAAATATATTTTGGGCGACTCCTTAGTTTAGTGAAAACGGACATGAGCCTCTTATAATAGAGGCCGATATAATCGTGACATATCAACAGATTCGCATGCAAGCTTAAGCATTTTTTTGAGTGAAGAACAAAAAGACTTGACTATGACTGACTTTGATACTGAGAACCTTTTAAATTTTCTTAAATAATATAATAAATGTTGGACTAAATCACATACATGAAACCAAAATTAAGTAGCTAAAACACTTCACGAAATCGCTGATGAAGACACCTTGAAACCGGCGTACAAGTTACTCGGCTACGAAAGTAGTCGTAAAATAAAGGGTGTATAAAAAGATGTTTAAATAGCTACGATTGATGAATACAATGTAAAACAGCCTGTATATGTAAAATTTAGGCATTGTGTCGGTCCGTGTGAAGCGACGCTACCACAGATGTACAATATAATGATAGCCAGTCAATATGTTTAAATTGTGATTAATAACGACTAGTGTCGGCACAATGTTCTTATAAAATATGGACCGATGGAGCTCTGAATGATGTAAGTTCTATTAAAGTAACTCGTCTCTTTATTAACTTAGTTAATTTTATTAAGTGTTGTTTTGTATGAGTTTGTTATTATTCTGTGATTGAGGTGAAGTCGTTCCGTGTGAAACTGTAATCCCTCGCACAAAAAAGTTATTTTGAAAGTGTCGTGCAAGCCTCTCGAATACAGAAGTGTCAATATATTTATGAACCAATAACAACAGAAAAGTTTTTTAAAATCGAAGCTTGCAATCGATTAAATTAAATACCTATACTAAACGCCGTCCGTTCACCTTCTCTTTTGGGAGAAGTGCCTGTGAACCAGCAGGGAGTGCTCCACACCTAGCCCCTGATAGGATGGGTAACCATAAAATCTCCGTCCATGCTTTGGAAGGTACGTTAAGCCGCGTTGGTCTTGACCGCATCTGCATATCACCAACTCGTCATTAACACCCACCAATTCGCACTGACCCGATTCCAGTCAAAGGAACTTTATAAATATATTCATAGATTTTCTTAAATATATTATTGAACTCCAAATTTATGTTTGCCCTAGGAATAAATCCCTCGAGAAATACAACATTCCCGGTTCATGTAAATCAATGTTTTGTACATAAATACGAATAGAATCAGTTCGCATTACCATAAAGAAATCGATGGAGCCAAAGACGGTATTCTCTAAATACATAATTCAGAACAACTATGTAACCATGCTCGATTCATTGTATATCTTCTATCTGTAGTAATTCTCCGATAGCTAGAACTGGAACCGAACTATTTTGAACCATGTGATTAGGATCTGAAGTTTGATATTTGTAGTGTGTTTTCATTGCGACATTGAAGGTGTAAAGTTTAAATCACTGAAGAGTTTTATACACGTAAATTTAATGATTTAAAAATTAAAGTGAGCTGAATCTTTAACATCAATATTGTATATGTAAAATCCGCTTAGTGATAAAATTTAACTATTTAAGAGAACCAAAAGGTCAGCCTCAGCACATCGCAAAGGGGTTATTATGAAGCTGGTTGTGTGAAGCATGACAGAAATGCATTTAATATTTTGTCCAGGACAATTCACTGTCTCACCGCACAATTCGATACTCAAATACGACAAAATAACACTTAACGGGATAATATTGAGATCTATATGGTTCATATCAAAAACTATTTCTTAGTAAAATTCGTTCCAAATACAAAACAGAGAAACGAAGCTAGTCCCACTATTTCGCCGTTTGAAAATACATTAATATTTGAACTAACGGGCCATGTTATTGATGGATACATAATATATGGAATTATTTTCCAAATAACTACAACGAGCATCGATCACAACGACAAAACTGGCATCAGCTACATTTTTAAAAGCAGATCATCATAACTCATCCATCGAGAGTTCCCACGATACCGTTCTTATAGACTAGACCGTGTAATGATCCAAACCTGCCATTATCTCAAAAATATCAATTTAGACCTTAAAGTTACACATATAAAGTCCAACGTAACACAACTTGACCTCAACCTTAAAGCAATATTTTATTGTTATTCCGCAATTAAGATTAATGATAAGATTTTAGAGGCAATAAGTACTTAATTCAAACATCTAGTTAAAAACAATGCAGCGGTTGTTAATACACCGTTTATAAGATCAAATTGGCGTGTGGGCGTGTCTTATTATAAATAACTGTAACCACTCTTTTTGTAGTGATAATTTATTGAAAATGTAAACGGATTAATGATACTTTTATTATATACCTATACAAAAGATATCAACAAAATTAAGTAGGGTATTTTGAATAATATTATCCAATATAAATCTAAAACTTCACTCAGTAGGTACATATACCTCAAATATAAGATGAAAAGAAATGTGTTAAAGGCAGAAATCATTACCACTTTGCATTTTTCTTAATGCAGAACGCAGATTAATGTTTCAAATACCAGACTTAACGAAAAGTTTATTAAAAAAAATATTTACTTTTAATTGCCTAGTAAAACTGGAGCAAATCATGGACTTAGTGCTATAGAGGCATTCTGTATCAATAGATTGATAAGGATTGCATAAAACTATCAAGGCGGTAATAATCTTAAAGTTGGTTATACACCTATAACACCCAGTTGCCTTAAGTTTAATGATGACTTTACCTCTAATGAATGTTATAAAGAAAATGGTATCAGTCATGTTGTTTTAAACTAATGACATAATTAACCGATGATTGTGCAATTATGCAACTGGGTGTGGGATATGCTAATATTAAAGAGGGATAGAGTATGCTGAGGAAAAAAGACTAATCTCAAAAACTACAGCCATATTATTCTGTTAAAAAAAACCCGTCATCAAACCCAGCGCTGTCAATTCACAGAGTTTTGATGAAATAAAAGCTTTATTAACTTTTGAGTAAGAATTATTTGATTCAACCTTTATGATTTGACAGGGCTGCATTAGACTACAATTTAGAGATTGTTTTTATAAAAGAAAACTTCTTCGCCCTTCTGAAATATGTGCTACTTAAGATAATAATAATGGAGTCTATATAGGTTACAAAAATAAGCTAACTTTGTTGTCACCTACGACATACAATATGAAACAACAATAATGATTGGAGAGCGAAATTCGATATCTTTTGTTTTCTTTTGATGACATAATGTGTC